TACAAAACTCTATAAGCCTTTGCCCTGCTTCATTTTGTACTCCAAGGCCAAACTTGCCTGTTATTCTTATTATTTCTTGACTTCCCACTTTGGCATTCCAATCCCCTATGATGAAAAGGACATCTTTTTTTGGTGCTAGTTCTTGAAGATGTTGTAGGTCTTCATAGAACCGATCAACCTCAGCTTCTTCGGCATCAGTGGTTGGGGCATAGACTTGGATTACTGTGATGTTGAATGGTTTGCCTTGGATTCTCAATGAGATATTCTGTCATTTTTGAGGTTGTACCCCATTACTGCCTTTTCCACTCTCTTATTGACTATGAGTATATTCTGTCATTTTTGAGGTTGTACCCCATTACTGCCTTTTCCACTCTCTTATTGACTATGAGTATATTCTGTCATTTTTGAGGTTGTACCCCATTACTGCCTTTTCCACTCTCTTATTGACTATGAGTGCTACTCCATTTCTTCTAAGGGTTTCTTGCCCACAGTAGTAGATATACAGTAATGGTCACCTGAATTAAATTCACCCATTCCCATCCATTGTAATTCACTGATTCCCAAGCTGTCCATGTTCAATCTTGTCATATCATGTTTGACCACATCCAGCTTGCCCTGATTCATAGATCTTACATTCCACATTCCTATGCAACATTGTTCTTTACAGCATCGGACCTTCTTTTCACTTCCAGATATATCCAGGACTGAGCGTCTTTTCGGCTTTGGCCCAGTCACTTCACTCTTTCTGGAGCTACTTGGAATAGCCCTCCGCTCTTCCCCAGTAGCATATTGGACACCTTCTGACCTGAGGGGCTCATCTTCTGGCATCATATCTTTTAGCCTTTTGATATTGTCCATGGAGTTTTCTTGGCAAGGATACTGGAGTGGGTTGCCACTTTTTTCTCCAGTGGACCACATTTTTTCAGAACTTTCTACCATGACCTTGGGTGGCCCTGCACAGCATAGCTCATGGCTTCATTGAGTTATGTAAGCCCTTTCGCCATGACACAGCCGTGACCCATGAAGGGTTAATTCTATTTTCATTAATATTTGTTCTTGTTACCCAGAGTCACTCTGCGTTGAGATGGGAATGATAAATTTAATAAATAAATAAATAAATAAATAAATAAATAAATGCCTAAGTTATAGCAACTTCCTAAAGGCAATCAATAATGAAGGTTTCCTGAAGTAGGTCAAACCTCAATGTTTTGACTTAGTTAAACAAGAGCTATCAAAAACAAGAGCTGACTTTATGTGCCTAAACTTCACTTGGTATACAAAACCAAGTCAGTACAGGGTATCATCCCTGCAGGGTCAGATTCATCTGCAATGCAGGCTGCTATAGACACTCACTTGGACCCCAAGGCAGTTTCTTCAAGGATCCCTGTACCCATCCAAAGTGTCCAACTTGCGAGCAAGCAGCAAGATGATGAACTGACCAGGAGAGTTTAAGGAAAGATTGGCAACTGTTCTGCATCCTCACCAGAGAGGGGATTTAAGCCTCACAGAAACAGCCTTCAGTTGCTAGGAGTAATGTACAAACTGATGATGTAATAAAAAATATGTCAGTAAAAACCGGGAAAAGTAACATTTGATGTATCTATTTGGTTTTGATTTGATTGGAGTTTTGAAGAAAAGAGAACATTAATATGATACAAATGGTGAGCTCATGATCAGAGTTTTCTGCAGTGTACTATGGGGTTATTATTTCTTTAACAACACTTCTATACTGCTTGTTTCTCTTTATTCAAGGTGCAAAAGGGAGGAGAGGAGAGGAGAGGAGAGGAGAGGAGAGGAGAGGAGAGGAAAGGAAAGGAAAGGAAAGGAAAGGAAAGGAAAGGAAAGGAAAGGAAAGGAAAGGAAA